GACCCTGGGTAACTGAAACCAGGAAAGCAAAATTGTGTATAAGGGAAGAATTCTGTAAATGATTTCAGTGATTACACTAATTGCAGACATTGCTATTTGTTGGTCTCGTGCTTCAGACCTGTAGGGTGTCAACATGACCAAGGGACTCTGTAGCAGTAGATGCTTATACGTGAGAGATAAGTCAGTCAACCTACAGATTATGGCTTGAAAAAACACTTTTTGTGATTGTCATATGGTAGTAATTAATTGCTTAATCTAGCTTCATTAACATGCAGTAGAAGGAATCATAACAATATAAAACTAACTGTATCTATAAGTCATTTAGGAGCTCTCTATTGATGAATCCAATGGCTCAAAAGGCTCAAAGAGCCCACCACCCAGCGTATTACAGAGAAGATTCTGTAAAGAGATGAGTCCAAATGTTGATAAATGTGGGAGTGTGAGATTAGAATGCACTTAACTTCATGCATCATATTGAGTATTTGGGGAGGAGGAAGCTTGCATACTAAGATCTTTCTGTGCTAATGAGATATATACATGGACACAGTCTGGCCCAATGTAAGTGATCTTTTAGAATTGCCATCTAAACTGGGCACGGTGGCACATGCCTATAATCTCAGCTACTTGGGAAGTTAAGGAAGGAGGATCTCAAGTTCAAGTGCAGCCTGGAAAATTTAGCAAAATTTCTCACTTCAAAGAAAAAAAAGAATCACTCTCTAACACAACATGAGGGCCACCAAAGGTCAAGATTTCTTTCCCTGTGGGTCTGTTTTCCACACTTCCATCCCACTCCATCCTCAGGGCAATCATAGTCTCCGCTGTAACAGATCTCAGGAATACTTTTTTGATCGTGGTCCTTTGGTTTTGTTGTTATATGAGATTAGAAGATTTTGGACCTGATAGAGGTAGATACTATCAGTCTGCCAATGAGAGAAGGGAAGAATACAAACAAAGATTTTAACTTGGATTTGTCACAGATGGTAGATGAGATACAATTTGGGTAGATGAGATACAACTTGGTCTACTGAGACCATCTGCAAAGGATTTTTAACCAAAATAGTCATCTTTATTGGAAACTTTTACATGTGTAAATTGTGCTTCACTCAGACATTAAGAGATTTAATTGCTCTGTCCACTTTTAGCATAACTGCAAAATTATGGGAAACAGAAACAGGCAAACCAAGCATCCAGGAATTTGGCCTGTGCTGTGTGCAGAACAATGTGCAAAGCCTAGGCCTCAACCTGGTAAATGCTTCTTCTTTCTCTTAAGGAGAATAAAATAACCAGAAAACAAGAGCTGCTGCAATATAACCTCTAAGTGCGCCTCTCAAGGAATACTATGGAAGAATAAATCCAGGATTCAAGAAAAGTACAAAAGTCAAACTCCCTCCTTAGTTTCCATGTCTCTTTGTTGTCAGTGCTGGTAAGGTCCAAGATAGCAAGCCTTCCCAAGATACTCATCGTGAAACAATGACATGCAGTATGTTCCCAGGGCTGTCTTCATTGTGTGAGAGTTCTGCAGGAGGCTCTCCTGGTGTAATGGCAAGACATTTAGAAATGACAAATACTAGAACAGTAGTATGATCTGTTGTCCCGATTAGTGTCTGAAATACTGTCTTAGAGATGTGCTTTATAAAATACAGAGTATGAACTATAAAGCTGTAGCTCAGAGCAGTTTATTTTTTAAGTGAGAGAAAAGGAAAATTACTATTTCTTTAAATATCTAAATTTATCTTCACCTCTAGTAAAACTCAGATGATTTATTCTGCTAAAATGAGTAAAATGTAGTCATGAGATTTCCAAACCTATTTCCCCTTGCTATACACAGCAGCACACGCTTCAAGTGACTTCTTTATCTTTAAAAAATGCTGTTAAAATGTTTATAGCTCTTCAGGATTCCATGTTGAGCCAGGATTATAAATATGTATAAATATGCAGATGCTTTATCGAATGTTCCTTATCTCATTTTTATTTCCAAAGTTGTATAAGATAACCTTTGTGCCTTTCAAAAACATCTTTCCCACCCCAGGGGGTAAATTACCTCTATTTTCATTTCCTTTAAAGTTAGATCATTTTATAATTAACAACTTATTGAAGCAGAGTCTCCCCATGTGTAAGCTACTCCCTGGGGAGTAATTTATTCAAAGAGAACTTCTGTGTTAATATCATATGAGATAAAAAATATACAATGGATACCTGGGATTTTGTTAAGTCAGCTGTATAACCATGATAAATGATCGGTTTGAAAGGTTATTGCTAAAAAGAAGTTCATAGTGCAAATACCTTATAGTGTCATTCATTAGATTATTTGAAAACGACTAGACCTTTAATAAAGGACTAATGATGTTGTTTGCCTTTTCTTTTTTGTCCAAGAGCATTAGAAAAATCAGTTAACAGTAATGCTGATGATGAAGGCATTTTATAGCTCTTAATTAATTACAAATATTCACTTGAACCTCGCAAGTCTATGAAGTTTGTTAGCTAAGCTTTATATTTATAAAGCAGAAAAAATAACAGAAACATAAGATCAAAGATTTTAACTTCATGATGGCCCCTAATCACTAATAGACTTAAGATTTTAATCCAGGAGGACAGAAGGGAATGACATCATTTCTAGTATCTTTCAATGAGCAATAATCGCACCTCGGATAAACTTCATTGACCAAGACAGTGCCACTGCACAAAACTCCACTATCTTTCCCTAACATAAAATCTTGAAAACAAATGCTATTTCAGGTAATCCAAAAGCTAAAAGAAGCAGAAGCTGACTGAAATACTTGATCTAATCAGTATTTTAAGTGATTACCTCTTCTGATGTCTGCATCATTGCCCTTTTTTTCTTGGCATTCTACGAATTGAAAATTGTGATCTTACTTTGTTTTTCCTCAAGTCACAGAATGGGTTATTTAACATCACATCAGCTCAAAAGCATCATTAATCACCTGGATCTTCAGCTTTTTCATATGAAAAATGGGAACATAGTATTGATTTTTCTGTTTGCAAAGATGACTGGAAACTTGCGTAAAATAATTCTGAAAAAAAAATGTGCAACCACAAAGCTAAAAATGATCCATCTTTAAAATGTAAAACAATAAGAGAAGTAATGTTTTACATTTGTTTGTTTTGTATATTTAAGAATGAAAAACTATAGCAATGTATCCAAGTGGCAGATTGATGTGTAAAACATTTTGAAGTATATTTTACATAATTTTTTAAAATTGGGAAAGAAAATAGCCAATCTTCTTAGTAAACATAATTTTAACAACTCTTAAAATATAATTAAAGACATAGGAATTACTACATTCCAAATAACTTCTCAGATGACGACTTAAAATCATCTCTCCAGTGGGTTTTATGTGCAGATGCTTACAAGACATCACACCAAATGGCACACATAAAAAGAAATGGAAATCCTGTGCCTTATCATATTCTGCAAATCACCATTTTTTGTCAAATTTACTGCTTGATCTCATTTTCAAGACTGGGAAGCAGGAAGTCACCTTCAGTTCTTCATCTGTGTTCATTTTTCTTTCATCCTATAATCTCACTTCTGCCTTTCCACCGCCTTTATACTTGCTTTTTCGTTTCCATGGTTCCTACCACTAATGTAATCCATGCTTTCACCTCCAAACACTCACAGTGGGAATAACTTTTAATTGGTCTTCTGCTTGTTTCTGATTAGCCTGCCAAACTTGTCTCTCTAACTTAACAAAACCACATCTCTCATCACTCACCCTGTTCATTTGATCATAGTTTATGGCGGGTGGGATGAAGAGAAAACTCTTCTGCCTGACCCCAGGGGATCCAAACTCTGGAACCACCCCTGTATATAGCCATGGGACCCACATTTTCATTACAGCCAAGTGCTGACTGGTACCAGTCATAGTCACTCCAGACCTCCACTCTTTTTCATTTAGTGCTCTTCAGACTAATCCAATTCCATACAATCTTCAAAATGAAATGTCTTCATCTCCAATGAAACTATTCTGGTTCCCATAACATTCATGCTCAGTACCAACATTTGTTATTATTTTTTTCTGATTTCTCCATGTCTTTACTTGGTCTTACTAGTTAGATTATTAGAAGTGCCACCATATCTTCTACTCTGTCGTCAGTCTTCAGTATCTTACGGACATACTAACCATACTTCCTATACATTGGGCGGATTCATTATTAACATTTCCACAAGTATTCTTCAGACCACATAATGTATAAAGCTACCACACACACACACACACACACACACACCCGTGCACGCGTGCGCCCTAGTTTTCCATTATAATTTCATATATTGAGATAAGGCCATATGAGACCTGCCAGGGACTTAATGTTTCAGATACAAAATAAGAAATCAGCCAGGGATTTAGCTCAGCTGTTCGGTGGCCTGCCTTGTAAGCGCAAGGACCATAGGAATCCACGGC